TCACTTGATTTGGACAGTTATTGATGATAAATTTGATTTTTATTTTTTATTTTTTAGAATAAGTTTGTTGCTCTGAGATTTGGGTGTAGAATGCGTGTGAAAGCTTGAAATTTAGGGCATTTTAGTGCTTGATGTTTTGTAATTAATAAGGGATTTCTTTGTCGTTTGTGTTTAAGTTTCATGCATTATATTCTCATGAGATTTTATCTGAATTGTTTATCAAATTTGGGTGTCTAGTAATCTCCCAAAGACTTGAAGGCTAAGACAAGAACCTGAATCATGTGTATCTGATCTGTTAACATTTTTTGGGGGGAGTGCATTTGTATTGCTTTTTCAAGTGTGTTTCTTTACTTGTTGGCTACACTTGTTATGATTCTCTTTAGCGAACTCATTATCTTGTTATGAACAGCTTGAGTATGAATGTGGTGAGGGTAAGAGGGCAGTTTCATTTCATTGCAAATTATTTATATCTATACTAATTTATTTTCTTACTTTTTACATGTAGTTTCAACAAGTTGATTATGACAAAGAGGTTATTGATCTGGTGCGATCTGAATGGGCCGATATTCTATCAAGTCATATAGAGTAGGTATGATTTGGTCATTCGAACGTTGTGATCATCTGGACTTGAATTGGTTCGGAGAATTGTTTTTTGTGTAGTAGTATTATGACTTGGATGATAATTAGAATTGGTCATGGAAGTCTTTTGACTTGTTATTTTGAACCTTATTAGCTTGTGCACAATTATGTAACTACACTTTGCAACATATGGTGAATGGATAAATTGTTTTTTTATACGATTATAATTTAAGCAGGTGAAAAACGGTTAAAAACCGTTGTCTATTTTACAATAGACAACAGTTAGAAACCGTTGACTTTTCTATAAAAGACAACAGTTTATGGGTGTTTCAACAACACCCAATAGACAACGGTTTATAACTGTTGTCTTTTAAAGAAAAGACAACAGTTAAAAATCGTTGTCTATGTACGTGACTTTTAACAACACTGGTTTCAACAACGCTTAATAGACAACGGTTAAAAAACCGTTGTCGTTGGTAGAAAAGACAACGGTTAATAACCGTTGTCTATTGCGTGACTTTTAACAACACCGGTTTCAACAACACTTAATAGACAACGGTTAAAAAACCGTTGTCGTTGGTAGAAAAGACAATGGTTAATAACAGTTGTCTATTGCGTGACTTTTAACAACACCGGTTTCAACAACACTTAATAGACAACGGTTAAAAAACCGTTGTCGTTGGTAGAAAAGACAACGGTTAATAACCGTTGTCTATTGCGTGACTTTTAACAACACCGGTTTCAACAACACTTAATAGACAACGGTTAAAAAACCGTTGTCGTTTCTAGAAAAGACAACGGTTATTAACCGTTGTCTATGTGCATGACTTTTAACAACACCGGTTTCAACAACACTTAATAGACAACGGTTAAAAAACCGTTGTCGTTTCTAGAAAAGACAACGGTTATTAACCGTTGTCTATGTGCGTGACTTACAACAACACCGGCTTCAACAACACTTAATAGACAACGGTTAAAAAACCGTTGTTGTTTCTAGAAAAGACAACGGTTAAAAAACCGTTGTCTATGCGCAGGACTTACAACAACATCGGCTTCAACAACAGAAAGTATACCCCTACGACAACGGTTAATAACCGTTGTCTATGTGCATTTTTCTTGTAGTGAACTTCCATGGAAATATCATTTTCAACGTTGCTGTCAATCAACTGGCATCATGGAATGTGCAACATCGTTTCCGTTCTGACCATTTGAATGTGCACCTCCAGCAACATTCACGTATCCAATTCTCTTGGAATCCATTGATTTGTTCATTATCAAAAAAATAAGGTTTTAAGATTGTTGGTGATAATGAACCAAAATCGATTTTATATCGCAAAATAACATTTATATACACACACACACAAGTATATAAAATATTATTTGATATATATCTGGAATATATATATATATATATATATATATATATATATATATATATATATCAGATCACCATGGTCATATGCATGAATATCTACGCAAAAGATATATGCATATCAACCAAATGGAACGTATAATCCACAGATTACAATTCCAACCAAACTATAATATCAAAAGGAGAGGATTTTTGCTTAGAAGCATAATCCAAAATCGAAAGAAGGAAAGATGGCTCGTGTATGGGTATATAGGGTTTTTAGCGTGAGTCAAGAGGCCACTCTTTCCTTAAAACCTTATTTGACACCTCCCAAAAGTGCTAGGAGCGTCGTGGCCTAGGTTTCTCAGGATAAACGCGCTACGGTTCGACGTTTGAGCACCCAAACGAACGAACCCGGCGAACTAGAACAAAACCTTGAACACAGTTAGGCTTAAGAAAGGAGTAGAAGCAGGAGGATTTTGAAGTTTGAAAACAAAATTTCGTGTAAGGCTCTTGTGCTTGTTCTTCTTGTGTCTGTTGAAAACTTCTGCCCTCTACCCCTTCTTATATAGGGGAGGAGTACTTAATAGCATTCATCATGACATTAATTACACGTTGTGTAACATTTGAAACAGCAACCCCATTAACAGAATTAAATTCAAAATTCAAAACTGGAGTTAATGGACTGTTGTCCTTCAGCCTCACCAAGTTTCGGCCCTAAGCCGAAGCTTTCAGCTTTGCCAAGTTTCGGCCCAAGGCCGAAACATTGCTACTCCGTTCCGTTTCGGTCTGGCCGAAACTATCTAGGTTTCGGCCTCCCAAGGCCGAATCGGTCTTGGCCCAACCCAAGTAGCTAGTGGTTGGAAAAATGATACCGAAAGTTGGCATAACTTATGCCCACGCACACGAGCTTGAATCAAGCCTGTTTGATCTCGTTTTTAATTGGAATTTGATTTGCACCCCCCACCCCCCACCCCCGCGCAAGAGAACCTCTATGCTATACAATTCTACAAGCTCCGAAAGAGCTCTTGTATAAAGGAGGGGGGGGGGGTCAAATCCTCTTTCCAAACCAATGTGGGACAAAACTCACTTTTCCCTTCATTTTTCCAACTCAATGGGTCTACTTTGAGAATCAATATCTCATTCACCCATTATCCGTTTTGAGCGTACAATATATCAATCTCTTCGTCTCACTACGAAAAACCCGAATCTACTTTCACCCGACCCAAATCTGAAGTGGACCCCACTGATAATTGTACCACAAAATAGCCACTTAAATGCTATTTTAATGCTATTTTTCCAACAATCCCCCACATGAATGAAAAATTGATTTTCAGGGTATTTTGAAATCGGAAAAAACTGTGTTCAAACGGTCGATCCTTGCATAGGATAGGTAGGGAGTCACTATACCCTTTGAACCTTCCCTTGTGAAGATATGTTTACTCTACTGGTTGTACGGTAGAACGCGATGTCTTTGAACCGACTGCCGTTTGTGTAGACGATGACATATTTCACACAGGAACCTCCCGACCATGCTCTGTTCTCATAAGTGTGCCCATTTTGGTCGTGGGTCACCGTTCCTTGTTCTGTGAGAGTTTCTAAAGAATTGTGCCCAACAATTCTCCTTTGAGGCGACCCTCACTTCTCTCTTACATAGGTGATTCTTTCTTGAGTATCCCGCATACTCACATATGTCAACTGACATTCGAATCATTAAAGCATCAACATGCTAGCCTCGTGCGGGAGTCGCTGTTTCTAACGAGGAGTGATAGGGAGTCCGAGACCCCCACAGTGACACGCTCCGTTCCATAATTTAGTTGTCCCATTGAACCTAGGTGCCAGCTAGGTTGGGTATCCACTATAGAACTTTTAGTCCAAGGGCTTTAGACTCATTCCTCGTTCCAACTTCTCAACAACCATTTGCTTACCCTCGGGTTAGCGAGTTATTTGAAGAAACTATCATGCATGTGCTATGTAATGTTCGAGTAGAAAGAGATTGTTAGATCCCCTACCGAAGCTTAACTAGGAATACTTGAGATTTTACTTATCTTCATTATTTTGTTTATCGGGACTGTGTTTCGTTGTTAGATTCTACTAATTCTTGCCATTTTAGTGTGATTCGTAGATCAATGAATAACCAAATTGTCCATGCTCTGGTAAATTAAAGGCGGTTGACTTCGGTCGGATCATCTAGTTTAAGAATCTTTCTCTCCTGATTATATTTGCATATTATGATTTAATATTATCTTTGGGTTTTAATTTTTTTTTTTTAAATACAGGATTTTAACTATTTTTAAATACTAATTTTTGGGTCGTTATATTATGCACCGCGGTGCATAATCGATTATGCACCGCGCGCTAGACACTACAGTGTGTTTAAACCGACACTGTCAAAACGACGTCGTTTTATTTAAGTATTGAAACGGCCCGCCGTTAGAGTTAACGGAGTCCGCTTGTTTGGTGTATTAAACCCAACAGACACTACAGTATATCTAAACCGACACTGCAGTTATATCAAAATGATACTGTAGTTATAGTGAAATGAAACTGCAATGTATATAAAATGAAACTGAATAACATTTCACATATTTGAGGGTATATTGTACAATGAAGCTGTAATTATATCAAAATGATCATGTAGTTGTGTTTTAATGAAACTATAGTGTATATAAAATAAAATTAAATAACATTTTCACATATTTGAGTCTATAAATATCGAATGAAACTATAGTTATATCGAAATGAAACTGTAGTTGTGTTGAACTAAAACTGCAGTGTATACAAAATGACACTGAATAATAGAGTTACTTTTTGCAAAAGGGTGCGAAACGGCGGAAACAAACACTGTTTATTTTCATTAAAAAAAAAAAAAAAAAAAGACGCGCGGTGCATAATATAATTTGCCCTAATTTTTTCCCCCCAAATTAAATATGGGCTGTGCATGCGGAACCCATACAAACCAAGTCAGTAAATTGGGAGAAAATACGTACAATATAATAATACGACATTAATAAGATTTTTTTTTAAAGAAAACTATTTAAGTTTGTAAAAGACAATAAACAAAAACACAAACGCAAACATGAATACATGATATTATTTACTTCAATTCAAATTTATTACTTTATACAAATTCAATATGCAATAATCCATCACACACATACCAAACCACCCTAGCTTTGATATTTGCAATACAATCTGGAATGCGAAATTGAGTACGTTTTGTACTCTTCTGGGCAAATCATAAATACTTAATTAAACAAGAGACATTAACACACACATACATACATACATTAAGTTTCTAATGTATGCATAACATGTGATTTAACGTTTGATCTTGCGGTCTTTCTTAGGACGATCAAATCAAACGTTAAATTAAATTTGAGAAATTAAAATGAGAAGTTGAGCATGTCCATGCTCAAGCTCTCCATCATGAGAGTTGTCTCCATGAACCTGCGGCAGGGACCATCGAACCCAGTAGTAGCCCCGCCGCCAATGGCGGCGCATGGATTTTTGTTGAAGTTGGGATTATTAATCTTGAAAGGGCAGGCGACGGAAGCGAGAGGGCGCATTGGGATGTTTTCACAGTTGCATATTTCAATCATGTACCCATCCGGGTCGTGGAAGAATACTTGATCCACCGTTATCCCCTCCTCCTCCACCACCGCCGTCACGTATCTCATCCCCATCTCTTCCAATCTCTTCCTCACCACCACCACATCCGTGCACTTAATTCATGCCCAAACAAATTAATAAATTAAACTCCATCTTTTCATCAATTTCTATAACTAAATAATTTATGAATATTATATTTTAAAGAATATGTACTTGATACAATGTCATATGTTATATTTTAAAGAATAATTTATGAATATTATATTTTATTATCAAAGTGTTGAGTTTAGTCCCTGAAGGATAAGTCCGTCAGAAATAGTCCCTAAAAGACTACAATTACTGCTTGACAAATAGGGGATCCATAAAAGTTTTTTTTTTTTTTTTTTTTTTTTTTTTTTATCTGAATGGAGGGGGATACCCAAACAAAACACCAAGCCACCCTAACGAATCGCCTGATCAATTCTCCTTGGAGTTGCAGCTCCAATCCGGGATCGATAAAAGATAATCAAACATATAACTCAAAACCAAATATACATGGAGTATAATTGAAAGACCAAAAATATAGATTTTATTTTATATATTGAACATCTTATTTAATATTATTCTGGTTTTTCCTTTTCAAAAAAAAAAAAATTTACCTGAAAAGAAATGTGGTTGTCCTTGGGATTAATTGGACGAGGCTGGTTCGCAGTGTCACAATCTTGGAGGGATTCATTTTCCAGCAAATGTATGCCAATGCCATAGTTGTACAACCTATGTATAGTATGTACAAACGTTTAACGATAACTATTATATTGTACCTAGTACATATATATATATTAATCCGAAATTGAATAAGCTAGGTAGGTAGGTTTACCAAGCTCCGTGGAAATTGAGAGATGAAGGGCGTTTAACAGAGCAGAAGCCCAAGACATCTTCGTAGAATCTGACAGAATCCCAGACATCCTTAACCAGAAGAGAAACATGGTTGAGTGAGAGAAGAGGCAGCGGCTGCTGGAAACTCCTCACTTCCTCAATCTCCATCATCATTTCGATCTTTAGTTTCTGATATATATGATCTGATCGATATTGAATTGGCTGGATCGATTGGATATTCTTAATTTATAGAATGAAGCGTGGAGTGTTGTTTAATTTCTGGTATTGTGATCCAGGTGCCAACAAGAACCTTCCAGGTAAGTTCCTATCATATAGCATATAAGACAAACTTGTGTATTCCTATATTGCTATATCATCATTTCACGTACGTATGCATGCATGTAATTTTAAAAAATACACCATGTATTAAGTGCAGATTTATTTAATAGGGTAATCTAAAGTGATATGATTTTTTTAGTGACAAGAGAAACTCGTAGTTACTATTCGAGGGTGTGCATGCATTAGGCTATTCTCGCTTTGTAACCCTAGCTAACAAAGAATCGAAATGGCGCAATGACGTAAACCGACTTAGGTTAATTAGGTACTTGCTATACCTAATTAATGGACTCAAATTAAGGAAGTGAATATACCACGTGGGAGTCAAATTAAACTTGTAACATTATGGTTACCAAATCAACCGTCGACCAACTTAGCTAGCTAGGTTGCCCCTAAAGTGATTTAAAAAAAAAAAAAAAAAAATCTTGAGAATTTTCACTACTCCCCCCTTGAAAATTTAGTGGAGAAGATAAATCGTAAAGCTATTTGATGGATATATTAGAAATGGAGCAAACCGACCTGGGAAGACGGAACAGGCTAAGGAGGACTTGAGCAGACTCGGGGCCCGAGCCACGTGCTTAACCCAGACCGCCCTAGGGCGAGGCCTCGGACATGAGGGCTCGGCTATGAGGCCTCAGCCATGGGGCCTCGACCATGGAGCCTCGGGCATGAGAGCTCGGCTATGATGAGGCCTCGGCCGATCAATCCATAGGTCCGGTCTCAGGATCGGACTGGACGCGGTCAAAGGAGGTTGTAACCGTTCCCACCGCATTGGGGGGGGGGGGGGGGGGGGGGGCGGTTAGGGAGTTTGCTATGTATAAGAGGCTTTGTATTTGTCTTTAGACATGTTCTATCTATTTTGTCCTAAACTACTATTGTAATAGCATTACACTATCTTGTAATAGCTTGGCAACTACAATCCCGCGACGTGACCCTACAACACTTATTTTGCCTATTTTACCTATCCATTTACACATTTTTAAATTTATCGGGTTTAATAATTCGGATCCCCGAGTTAATTAATTAAATCCATTACTATTCAACTATTGAAGTGCATATGTAACTATTGAAGAGTGTATGGCATGTTTCATGCAGGATGGCCGGCCTTGGTGTATAATTAGAGAAAAATGAAGGAAAGTGGAGTTTGAATTACTTGCACGTTTCCCCCAATGGAACAGTGTGATGGCTATAGTTTTGTGATCGAAGTTAATGAAGAGTTGATCCTATCGCAGGTGTAAAAGTAAACATAATTATTATGGTAAACTACAAAAGAATGATTTTGAACTATATATTAATGTACAAAATAACACCACAAAGATCTTACGGTTAAAGCTGGCCGGGATTGATCGAAATTATTCATCATGCATTATATTGTTAAGTCCACACGCTACGTGATAAATCGTCTCTTAATATTGAGTTTGAATTGTATTAATTATATCAACACTTATAACGGCATGATACATGTTGCGTAAATCAAAGCATGATACACGTTACGTTGTGTATAGTAATATGTAATTACCTAAACGGTTACGTTAATATATGAATGTTATGATTGTTGAAAATAAGCAATGTTTTGATCCAACATGTTGCATGCATGATTGTCATGCAGAAGGCTCATATGAGAATAAATTGTTTATAAAAAAGTGTGGATTAATTTCATCGATTTATCTTGGGTTTATCAACGACTATAAAATAAGAAAAATTATAGTGACATTTTCATAATAATAGATGTAACTAATAATGCATACACTTTAGTACATACACTATTATAGATTCTGAGTTCAATGTCAGTTATCTGCAAATGCATTATCAAATGATTGCATGCGAATGAATCATACTAATTACGAAAATGTCACTCTTTAATTTCCTGCTTTTGATCCTCCTAGATGAACATATTAGATTGAGTAATATGTATATTCAAACGAGAATTACCGCATATGTAAAAATTGCAAAATACAAAGTGCACAATATTACAAAATGCACCCACTGATATGTGAAGTGCAACCTTTTGAGTGCATATAAACGCATTATCAGATGTACTTTCTAGTTATGCATAATTCACTTTAAATTTTAAAATATTTACTAAAATATCGCCATGTTTTCTCAATTTTTTTTTTTCCTTGACATAGGGGTGTCAATCTTTCCCGAATCAATAGCTAAGATCACTTCACAATTTTTTGCTAAGAAGTCATTCTCACAAAATTATATCCCTATATGTATATATATAATCTAATGCATGCAAATAAATAAATAAATAAATAAATTATTCTCTTATTGACGCTCTAATTTAAACCTCATATATTGTAATAATCATCTAAGATTTGTTCTAAACATACTTATTATATATTCATTATACTAACTTCCATTATATCCAAAAGTAGTATTAATTACACAACATGTACTGCTTTCTTGTTTGGTGAATATAAGACTTTTTAAGGAAATGTGTTGTGAAATGTATATATGAATATTTATCCAATTTTTATCCCAATGAAATTTCTCTAATTTTTCCTAAATCATACGAAATTTCTTGGATGCTTCTAATTTCAAACGTTTTTACAACTTTTATGCCGAAAAATTTGAGCCTCTTTTCCTTTTGTGGCAAGCTACGCGGCTGCAACAGCGATAATCCATGATATTATCATTACTAAGTTACAACTTTGGCACAATATAAAAACTTGACCAAACTTTATTGATCATAAAAAACACACAAAAAAAAATCAGCTAATAATTATATTTAAATTACCATCAACAAATAAGTATATCAAGAGCTTAAAAATATCAATAAATAACTAGAAAATCATAACTGTGTTTAAAAAAAAAAAAACTAGAAAATCATAACTACTGAAAAAGAAATTTACATATCCTATATATAATAAAGCTATATGGTCTTGTGAAAATTGAATGTTACATTTAATTTTCACAAGACCATATGACTTTAAGATGTGAAAGTCTTGTGAAAATTAAATGGGCTTTAAGATGTGAAAATTACTTTAAGATGTGAAAATTAAATGCAACATTTAATTTTCACATCTTAAAGTCATATGGCTTTAAGAAGCATGCATGCAACCCCAAAGTTCATAAGTTTGAAATTAATATATAGCATAGCTATGTAGCTTAATATTTAAGATTGTTGATGTGCATATTGAGGACTACAGAGACAAAAATGCGTTATTCGTGGATTCATCAGATACTATCCAACAACACTCTCCAACTTAATTGACGTGAAGTAGGCTTAGTAACATTAAGATTATATTCTCGAATTATTAGTTCTCATCTTTTATTGATTACACACTTAATTCGATAGTATTTGGAAGAAAAAAATCAATGTTCTAACTAAGATTGTGATTTTGGTCTTTAAAGGTCAATTGTATGTTGCTACATCTAGAGTTAGAAATCTCAAAGGTGTACAAATTTTGATCTGTGATGACTCTAAAATTGTAATTCAATTACTATTGTAGTTTACTAACTTCTTAAAAATTTATAATATTAAATACTATGTACTAAAATTTTAATATAGTTTAAGATTTGTAGTAATCACCCACCTTAAATATTATTTTAATTGTAAATATATTTATGTTCATAATTTTATCATAGGAATTCACACATAATAATTATTAAATAACAAAAATTTTATATATGAATAAACCTCATATAATGTATATTTTTATAACATATTTTTCGTGCATCGCACGGGACAAATACTAGTTAATTAAATATAAAAAATTATTAATAGATTTAATTGTTGCAAAACTTACAAGTAGTTATGTCATATTCGCACGGGACAAATACTAGTTAATTAAATATAAAAAATTATTAATAGATTTAATTGTTGCAAAACTTACAAGTAGTTATGTCATATTGTGTCATTAATGCCACCGCCCTGGCCACCAAAGATACAACTTATATGTAGTACAATTTATAAACTGAGTATGAGCCCAAATCTACGTTTGATAATAATTTCAAGTCTCTCAGACGTGACAACGACTAATTTTAGACTCAAATGTATTAATCGTACAAGTTGTTATACAGTAGATCATAGTTTACGCGTGAATCATGGTCTAATACAATTGTTAAATGAAAATCTAGTAGAGATAAAATAATACTTTAGTAATGTTAAAATAGTGTGTGAAAAATGAAACTTTAAAAAAAAAACATAACTCATACAATAACGTATAATGACAAATGAAATTGTATAATTAAAATGATACTTTTTTGAAAACATTAAAATGATACTTTAGTATTGTTATAATGAAATTAGTGTGTGTGGAAAAACGAAACTGAAAAACAGAACTCATACAATAACATATATTGTCAAATGAACATGAAGTGTAATCAAAATTATACTTCAACGTTATTATAATTAAAGAGTTAATACCCAAAATCGTCCTCGACTATAGTGGTTTTTCTCAATTTCGTCCTAAACGACTTTGGTGACCTAATATCGTCCCAGACTTTTGTGTTTTGCTCAATTTAGTCCCAGACTTTTGTGTTTTTGCTCAATTTAGTCCCTCATTTGTTATTCTGTCCATTTGGTGTTAAATAAATAGACAATTCAGTAATTTTAATATTGGCATCTCTTTACTCATAGACATGTGAACTGCGAAATCCCTTTTTTTTAACGAATTACTCCTAGAATTACTCCTAAAACTGCGAATATAAAATTTAATTTGCAGGTCCGGGAGTAATTCTGGGTGTAATTCGTACAAGAAAGAGGAATTTCGCACTTCACAAGTTGAAAGTAAAGAGATATCAATATTGACATTACTGAATTGTCCCTTTATTTATCACTAATTTGACGGAATAACAAATGGAGGACTAAATTGAGCGAAACACAAAAGTCTAGGACGATATTAGGTCACCAAAGTCGTTTAGGACGAAATT